TGCTCTTCCCCCCAGATGATAGTACCTCTCCTCCTTGTGTGGCTGGTCCCCCATGTCTGGAACAAACTGTCTCCTCACTATTGCTTCATAAACTCTGCTTTGTCTGATGCCTCCTCCTCCATCATCCTCCCCTGCCCCTCCCTCCTCAAGTGACTTTGTATTGGCTTCCTTGGGTAAGTTTGGAATAGATTCGTCTTTGTTAACCTGTGAACGTGTTTTATTCCCCCTCCCTCTACTAGAATGTAAAGCACTTGAAGGAAGGCCCCACTTTGTTTTTATTCTTAGATACTCAGCACTGAACAGAATTCATTATAGGTAGTAGCCACTTGGTAAATGTGTATTTATATTGATTGAAAATGATTTGATTATGCAATCATTGGCTAAAGCGTAATCTTGTTATGTATTTATGCTCTGTTTTGGCTTAAGGATGACCTGTTATGTCTGGCCTTTTGTGGGAAAGCTTTGACATTCACAAATATCAAAATTGATTTTGCGTATTACCAGGTACACATGACATTCACAAGATATCAAAATTGATTATGTATCTTACATGAAAGCCAGAGAAGACTGGACCTCTCTTTTGACTTTGAAGCTGTCAGTTTCCAGTCTAGCCATTTTTAGAAAGGGATTTACTGTCTTCCATACACCAAAGATTTGGGTTTTTTGGTTTTCTGGAGAAGATCGGTATGAAGGGTACTTTGCCTACATCTCCCGTTGTTTCTTCCTGTCAAACTTGGGAGAGTGGGGCTTCAGAAGGATTGGGAAAATGCTCTTAGTGACCACTGGTCACTTTTCTGAAATTATTTTATTTGCAGAATATTGGAGTTGGGAGGAACCTCAAATAGACCCACTTCAACCCAAAGAAAAGCCTCCTGTGTCCCATGCCTGACTGGTAGCCAAGCAACCTTGGAAGAGAGAGCCCAGTGCACCTTGGGGCCCTTATTGGTACGGTTTCCATAGAGCCACCCAAAATCTGCCTTGTGCAGTCTCTTCCTATTTTTTTTTGCATGACAACTTTATTATATATTTAAAAGGATTAGCAAGTTGTACATAAAATATTTTCAGTTTCAAGTGCAATCATCTTTTTTTATTATACAATGTTATGGAAATACTTGTTTTATTCCATAAACTTAGTTATATATATGTATATTATATATATATGCATACATACATATACACATATATATTTAATTTATTTTAAAAATTAATTTATTTTCAGTTTTCAACATTCACTTCCATAAGCTTTTGAGTTTTACATTTTCTCCCCCTCCCTCCCCAAGACGCATCCCTGACAGGCTTACAGATACTTGAGGAGAGTGGTCATGACTCCCCTCAGTTTTCCTTTCTTCGGGACGATCAATCCCAGTTCCTTTAACGGATGCTCTTGTGCTGTGATTCAAGGCTCTCCTTTATTCTGGCTGCCCTCTTCCAGGTGCTTGGCCGGGTGTCACGGCTCTTCCTAAAAGGTTGTTGCCCACAGCGGAAGTCAGCATCCCAGAGTTGATCTCACCAGGATGGACTTCAGCAGGGCCCTGGACACAGTGCCTGTTTAAAAAATGGCTACTGGTGTTGGTTGGGATTCCACCACTTTCATTTCTAAATTTATTCCTCCCCTTACCTCTCCGCAGCCCTGCCTTGGAACAGATTGAAAAAGAAAGAAGAAAAAAGTGCTTCAGTCAGACCAGCCATCATATCCATGGCATCTGCTGGGAGAAGCCGGGCAGCTCTTCAGAGAGAGGAGGGAGGGCCATGCGCCATCTTAGTTCTTCTCTAGGGCTGAGTTCGGCTGGTGTCAGTTTCACGTTATCGTTCTTTCCATTTGTGTTGTCGTCATTGTGTCTATGATTTTCTTGGCCCTCCTCAAGTCACTCAGCATCAGTTCATCTGAGTCTACCATGCTTGTCCCAAAGCCTCGTGTTCATTTCTTATGAAGCGATAACGTTACATTCTCTTCATGTACAGTGGGCTGTCTCATCATTCCCTAATGGATAGGCATCTGCTTTGGTTCCTTTCTTTTTCTAACCACAGAAAATGCTGCTGTGGATGTTCCCGGCATCATGTGACCTACCTCCTTGGGCTCTGTGCCTAGCAGTGGTATCTCTGAATAAAAGGGCCTGGGTGTTTGGGTGGTTTGTTCACTTTTTTTTCCTTAATATGATTCCATTTTTTTTTTTTTGCCAGAATGGTTGGGCCCGTTCATAGCTTCCCCAGCAGATGCATGTTCCTGTCTTCCTTGAGCCTCAGCAACGCTGGCCCCGTTTTTTGTCATTTTTGCCAGTTTGCTGGTAGTGAGTTAGAGTTGCTGGATATTTCTCTTATTTTTAGTGATTTTTTTTTGGGTAAGGCGATTGGGGTTAAGTGACTTGCTCAGGGTCACACAGCTAGTAAGTGTCAAGTATCTGAAGCTGGATTTGAACTCAGGTCCTCCTGACTCCAAGGCCAGAGCTCTATCCACTGCGTCACCTAGCCGCCCCTATTTTTAGTGATTTTGAGCAATCTTTCGTTCAGTTGTTAATAGTTTTGTGGCTCATTGGTTCATTTCGTTGACCACTTGTCTGCTGGGGCGTGGCTCTGAGCCTGGTAGATTTGTGTGGTTCCCTGTTGATCCTGGATCATCCCCTTAACAGGGGAATTTGATGCCAACATGGTGCTTTCCTCTGGTCAGTTACCTTGCTTATCCTCCACTAACTAGGTCTCTCTTAATAGAGTCACTGACAGCATCAGGGCTGCCATAGAACCCAGCTGTCTCATTGAGCTTGCAGCCTGCTCCAGCCTCCGGGTCATTCCTTCCCCATTGTGGCCCTGTGGAGTTTCTTGGAGCCCTCGGGAGGGGTCTCCCCTTTGCTTCCTTCACTCCCTAGCATTTGTCTCCCAGGTGTGCCATCATGGCTTGCTGCCACTTACATTTTAGTAAGGCCTTTGAAGGTCTAGCACTGGCATTCAAGACTTTGTAGCCCAACTGCTCAGCACAGGGCTTTCCACACTGGAAGCCCTGAGTACATAGTCATGAAAAGAATGAATGGATGGATGGATGGATGGATGGATGGATGGATAGATAGATGGATAGATGGGTGGATAGATGAATGGATGGATGAATAGATGAATAGATGGATAGATGGATGGATGGATAGATAGATGGGTGGATGGATGGATGAATAGATGGGTGGATGGATGGATAGATGGGTGGATGG